TAAGTTTTATTTATTTAAAGAACCTCTTAGGAATGCAGCAGTAGTTAGCTGTAGCACTTCTTGGTGCAAAATGAGGCTCTTAGTTGTAATATTTCTGTCGAAATAAAGTAATGTGAACCTGCATTCTCATAGCTAAGAAGATAACCGGAAATTGTGTGCACTGTAAACAACCCTACTGAGAGGAGAAAAGTACAGAGCCAAACTTTGTCAGACAAATTTAATTTAATTTGGAAGCCTTATCATCACTGACTGGCTTCATTCACTTCCTCCACTGCCATGCCTAAAATAACTAGCAGACACTGCGCAGAAAATCGACGTTGTTCAAAACTCCGCCTTCTGTTCTCTGATTGGCCCAGTTAAAATAAACTACAAGCAGACACTGCTCAGAAAATTGACGTTCTGTTCTCTGATTGGCCCAAATGAAATGCTCCCAACGAAATCCTTGTCTATGGGAGAAATCCCAGATTGAGCAGTGAAGGGAAACTAGAATTGAGCGGAACTGCATAGGAAGGCAAGGGCCAGGCTAGCATTCTCATGCTGTTGACCTTGCTTGGACTATCCCTTAGCTCATCAGTCCAGTCAGCATTAAGTTTTCTACAACATGTAAACTATTAATTGTTTGTAACCTTTAAAGAAGAACCCCACATTGTGCCACAGGACTTTTAACAGTGACTCAGCAAGATCTCCATTAAGTGTTTATGGAAACTTAGAAGCACAGTAAATGCTGCCAAAACACTGTTAATAATTCATCTTATTTTGAGCCATTGAAAAGCGGTTTTGGTGATAACCACTGAAAATGTCTTTGTCACAAAAAGTTTCTTATTAGGGTGTGCACACATGCACACATGTATCATGCTCAAGCCAGTGGTGGTCATTGTTTGTGAGTTTGTATGAGTTCCTCTTGGAAGAATCCAAACAATGAGTAGATTCGCCACCAAGACTGCGCTCTTCTAATTTTTGTCTGTGAATATATTAAAAAATACATTTCTTTTCTGTGTTCTCTACTTTTTCTTTTAGGTCTATCCCCACCATCCTACTCCTTCACCCACGTTCCACCTGTCCTGCCCACAGAGGCTGCTGCTGCTCTTTACCCACCCCTCGGACAGGTGCTGTTGACCCCTCGAGCTCTCCCTCCAGGACATGCCTTCTACCCCGCTTCAGCACAGCTATACATGAACTACGCAGCCTATTACCCCAGGTAAACACGCATAAACCACTTCTAATGATGGACATTCATGTTCTTTCTGTGAACTCTTGCAGACAAAATTTTATTTTGTATTTGAAATTAAATATTCATACATTTTAGCCTCAGAAAATCTCACAATAATTCATTAAGGAAGTTCAGTGTTAGTAAAGACAGATGTATGAAATTGTCGGCTAAAGAGTGTGTGCAAAGTAAATTTACATTGTTGTCACACTTCATTGCACAAGGTAACCACTCTGTAACTAATATAAATAGATTTAGGGTTGTCTTAGGGCCCAACAAGGCTGTCTGTGTTTACTTTTGGTCTGTGTGCTGCTGAGTAAGACACCTCAAAACATAACTGGTGTTTACATGTTTGACTATGTGAGCCTCCTGTTTGTACAGTGTTTCTCAAATGTTTTCTGTTAGGGGCCCCTCCTTTGGAGAAAGAAAATTATCCACGCCCCAACCCTCCTTTCTTTAGGCTTTATAT